CGGCCAGCCTCCTCCATTCACAATGACTTCGCCGCACGATCGCATGGAATCTGAAGCTTCCATCACTCCACAGCACACATATTGAACATCCCGGTGAAAGCCGCCCCTGACCTGGACACCCTGCCTTGCTTTCAGCACCAACAGAGAATGGAGTGGCATTATGCCTGAGCCTGTCAGCTACGCCTCCAACCCGGTATTTAGAACCTCAGCAATGAGATCGATTAATAGAACATTGCCTATCATGCCTCAAAGCAGGCTCGCCGCCGTCACATTGCATGACTCTTACCTTGCTGCACATGTCTCGATATTGGATCATCTCGTCTCGGTAGACGACAACGCAACATTTCCATCTTACTTCGTGGTAGTTGTGTTCCCATACGAGTCGGGTGATGTAAATTACCCCACGAAAGATGCCATCATGGTGGGTGCAGATACTACTAACAAAGCTCCAGTTTCTGCTGTAGTGTCGGGATCCAGCTTCTTCTGACCCCTGTCATGCTGTCAACATGTCGCAAATGGCACCACAGACTCGTGCTTCATAGCGTGACCACTTACCAATATTACCCTACTCAACATCCAGAACTCCAGGTGACGCAGTCTGAATATGTCACACTGTCGACCTCGAGTGACCTATGACGATATCGTCTGGTTCACTGCGACACTAGAAACCTCTGTACCTACAGGGCTTTCCATCCCTGCATGTCAGGTCACAAATTCCTATCCAACGACAAACTATTAACTGCCTGTAGAATACGTATCATCTACAAGACGGGCCAACGCTACCGGCTGTCAGAAAAAAAATGTCCATTGTAATGCCTATCAACAGAGGGTCTTTTGTCCCGCTCCTTGTGGGACGGCGCCAAGTGGATTGCGATAAAGAGTCCCGGTCTTACACCTCTGCATATCGTAATATGATTCATTCTATCTTCGATAATCACAGGCTGGCTTGCTGGTGGTTGTTAGACCAAGTATTTATACTCATGATTGGACATCGAACAAATGTTCGGGATAACCTATCTCCCGAATTCGTGTATTCTGTGGCATCCGATCGACCCTATAACTTCCTGTCTTGTCATATCCTTCAGCAGTGACATAACTGGAGCAACGCTGGGCGAGTGTAGGGGTGGTTCATGCATGACATCCCCTGTCTGGGGAAGACAGCCACGCCCTGCTGTACGTAGTACATACACAGTACTGTATTCCCCTATATCCAATAGCAAGCGGCTGCCAAGTCTCTTTGCTCGCCTGTTCTTATGAGGCCAGCATCGATACGAAAACATTTGACTTGTTACTTCACAATAGACTAAACATGGATGTTCTCTTGACACGATAGCACGTATGATATAGATGCGGTAAACGTCGGCAATAGCGTTCAGAGTGTTGTTGATCATTCCTATTCTAAACTAGCTCAAAGTTTATCTATCGCTTAACTCCTACGACAACCAGGTTTCTTGGACTCAGTCCATAGTCAAACACCGTTTCGACCCACGCGTGACGAACAAGATCGTCGTGTTCTTTGAGAAATGTCCACCGGTCCGACACGATGAGCGATTCGACCGCCATCGCGCTGAAAGCCATGAGACTCCAAATAGCGCACAACTCCTTCTTTCGTGGCATGTACTGGGCCTCATATTGTTCGATCTCTTCGTCTGTTATATCGCCCATCTTCTCCTGCATCACTTCCGCATACTGCTTGTATTCAGTGTTGGTTGTGAGTTTCTCGACTGCTCCGCGGACATAAGACTTGAACGTTCCATAGCAACTCTTCCGCAGCGATCCAATAATTACAGGATTGGTGCTGATGTCGAAGGGACTTTCGCTATCATCCTGGGCGGATGATGCAGTGTCTGCTTGTCGGGGTTCCCCTTGACTATCTCCATGCCGGATCTTTCTTACCACGCCCCGGTCAAGGAAGATCTTTTGCAGCACTGCTCTGTAGAAATGCCGGGAGAAGAATCCTGCGCTTTCCTTCTCGGTCCAGTTTTGTGGCGCCTGGCAAGCCATCATACGAGCCGTGATATTGAGTCGCACGCCGTCTCCCTGATACGTTGAGAACTTCTGACTCATGGGAAATCCTTGCGGGTCATGCTTGTCCGATTCTCGAACGAGTCGACCGTTGACAGCTTGAAGAGTCGGTCGCAAGAAGGCATGTTTGTATGTAGGTGGACCAAGTTTCTCAGTCATCAGGTTGTAGCAGCACCCAACGATAGCCACAGCTTGGATATCTGGGTTAAGAACCAAAGAACGAATTCCAAAGTGCGACAGATTTCCGCAAGAGTGGATTGACATGGCCATCAGGCTCAAATTCTTCTTTTTGGCTTCTGCATCGGCTTCGGTATTGATCTGGGCGATTACTTCACCCAGCTCGCCACTGTCCAGACGGCCTGAAATGTACTGAACTGACCCTTTTCCCTTTTCCAAAGTATATTCTCCTTCGAGTTCTTTGACAGGTTTGAACTCAAAGGCTTCGTCTCTTGCCACATCGCGGATAGCCTTAGCCAAAGCTTCCGGGTCGTCTTGGGCATCAGGTCCCCGTGCTTCCAGGATCTTTGTCCATAGCTTCTTGTTCCTCATAACTTTGGGCTTGACAGCCAGTCCAGAGGACATGTCAAGACCTTTTGCTGCATTGACGTTGTTCTCCCGTCCCTCAACAGCTACTACATGCCGATTGTAGGGCTCACTTGCCATGGCTCGGCCAAGATAATTCTGGCCACTTCCAAAGTCGACGTAGTGGGATATCTCGTTTCCATACTGCTCCCTGATGTCGTCCGAAAGCCGAGAAAGGTAATCAGCAAAGTTTGTGACTTCATGATTTTTCTTCACGTTCATGCCTATGGCTACTGATCGGGGAAGAGCGGGAAGCTTCTCTGTAGGTGGCGTGAATGATCGGCCAAGCGAAAGATTTCGAACTGTTCGGACGTATTCTATGAAGCTCTCCGGAGGTTGCACGCCGTCATAGTTAAGATTATCCAAATCATCACGCATGAGGAGGTCCAGAAATTCCATGAGACCGCATGAGAGAATGAAAGGGTGCCATTCTTTAGGGATGGTATAATGAAAGAGACCAGGCTCAATGGTGAAGAAGTCGAGGATATGGACACCACCGCAGAGGATTTGGAAGGTTTCAGAAGTTCGAACAAACTTGAGAAGCTCATCGATATACTCGTCTGGTGATGAAAAATCACCATTGAATGGCAATGGTTTCTCTGGTATCATTTTGACTGGTATGCAAGTTACCCTGGAGACCTGTCAGTCACAATATTGGGGTTTGGGGAGTTTATACGCTTACAAGTTTTGATCGTCTCTGTGTAATTTAATATTTCATATTTATACTCAAAACTTACTGTGAGGGTTTAATTACTCCTGTCAGTAATGTTTATGATCCGCTCTGGTAAGTGAGTTGGCGAATTTTGTGTGAACGTGTATATTCCTAACAAGGAAGAAGAACAACACAAATTGACTCAGCCTGCTCTGTCTCAGGTATCCCAGATTTAGGGGGAAATCTTGGCGAAGTTTGACGCCGAGAACATGACTTGAGGAACAGTTTTTGAAGAGTTTCAGACATAAACATTATTCTCATCAAGGTTTTGGTGGGTGGGTCGAGTTTGCAGGTGAGTCCTCGGTGTGTGCCAGAGCAGTACGTACCGGTGAGTTCTCACCGAAAACTCCCGGGTAAGCTCACCTGCAGGGTCCGAGCATGCAACGTCATCCCTTCCATCTAACACGATGTCGCAGCCTTGAATACTGTTTTGAACCACCTGGCCCTTTCTTTTGTTCTTAATAATTCTCAGTCGCAGCGTCATATTGAACTGTAGCGCACTCCTTTTAACACGCATGGTTAACCCGCCGCTTTCAGGATGATGTCCTCTACCAACGATGAGGACCCCTTCGTCCAGGTCCAGCAGTACGTCTCACCCTTATTGCTATGCGCCCGGCCATCAATGCTAATAATAATACAGAGATGTCCTCAACCAGATGGCCAACACGCGCCCGCTGTTTGCTTCGTACCTTCGAATTCGCTCCCTTTCCACAAACGCCAATTCCCCCGAACTTGCATCCGCACGCTCCGATCTCGAAGCCGCTTTATCATCCCTTGCCGACGACTTAGCCGACCTGATCGCCTCTGTCCAAGCCGTTGAATCCAATCCCTCGCAATTTGGGCTGTCAGAGCACGAAGTTACGCGCCGTAAGCGCCTTGTGCAGGAAGTTGGAGGCGAGATTGATGATATGCACGATGAGCTTGCGAAAAAGATGGATGCGGGCGACCTGCCTGACCCGAATGCGTTTGCCATTGATGGCGACCATGAGGACAACTACACCGAGTTTGAACAGCAGCAGCAGATGGAAATGATGCACGAGCAAGATCAGCACCTCGACGGCGTGTTTCAAACAGTAGGAAACTTGCGCCGGCAGGCGGACGATATGGGAAGGGAACTCGAAGAGCAACGTGAAATGCTTGATCAAATAGACACTGATGCTGATCGTATCGGTGGACGATTGGCGACGGGCATGCAGAAGTTGCAGCATGTGGTACGGCAGAATGAAGATCGCTATAGCAGCTGCTGTATAGCGGTCCTCATATTTGTCCTTATACTGCTGCTAATCATCCTTCTTATCATATAATGTCTGCCATAGACTTCAAGAGTCAGATGTTTAGCTCCTTTACAGCGTTTACGATATAACCACATGTGGGATTGGAGTTTGGGATGGGGAATTGCTTTTCACGAATTATCGTACTCTTTGACCAAGAAATTTTCTTATCTCACTTAAACGTGTACTAGAACGATATATAGAGTAGCAGCGGCGGGTTTATTTTCCAAAGTTGTTGTGTTATCTAAAGGTTTATCAAACAATTGCCAAATCCTGAAGCACAATGTCTCACAATCGTATACGATACAGTAACGGAGCGGTCTTCGATTCCGCGATAGCCTTCTCAACCCTGTAAAAGTCCGGACTTTATTCCATTTTGAATTCGTCATACAATCAGTTGTCTTGCGCCGTTATACTAGGATCAGCCCCGATTCGGTCTTGAGTACGTCTGCTAGTGCAGCCAGGGAGCCAGCAGCACTGGCATTTTGGGGTGCTTTCTTTGGGAACTCGATGAGTGCAAGCCGCAACGCCGCTAACGCAGCATTCCCATAAAAGTTGAGGAAGCGCTGCTCATGGCCTTGGATCATGGATCGCAATACCACATATTGAGTGTTTGATGTCTCGTTGGGTGGTGAGTTGACGATGTAGGCAAGCGCCTTCCAGTAGTTTGTTGGCGGATAAGGGTTCTTCTTGGATGACCTGCTGAAGTCTCTTAGAGACAAAGAAGCAAATCCAGCACCTAAACCAGTCATTCTGTCATTATGACTTTGTTCCGTAATCCATGACGGCCCATCCTTCTTCCATCCTATGGCGACGCGCCCGCGTTCTGTCTTGTCATTACCCCTGTAACCAAACAAGACAGGGCAAACCATTCGATATTTGGCCATGAGGATATCAATCAAGGATAGACCTCGCCATTGGAATTCTTTCGCCGAGAAGATGTGGGCAGCAAAGACGCCAACAGGGTCCGCAGCCTTGGGGTTTGCGCCGCCTTCGTTAATGAACTGGTTCACAATACCCTTGGCGCAGATGTTTATGAGATATATAAAGAGTGAAGGAAGGGTGGCATCGTTATTTGCGGAGCCTTCAACAGGCTCTCTCTTATCGACCACAAATGCACTGACATCGATGGGAGGACTCGGGATCCGACCCTCCAAAGCCTCTTTGAGCGCGCCTGTGATTTTGTTGATCTGTCATTTGTGAGAAGCTGCTTCAAAGTGGTAGGGTATTTTCAACTTACAGGTTGATTGTTTGCTCCCTTTCCGGCCGTTAGTTGACCAATAGCTACTCGAATTTCTCTTCGAGCAGCACCGAGTTTGCCCTTGAGGGGCGAGTCGGCAACCTTTGACTGCGCCTGAAGGTCCTTTCGCAATTTCTTCAACTCTAGGTGGATCTGAGCATAGCGGTCGACGCTGGCAGCTGACTTGGCTTGCACAGATTGTGAGACTGGTGCGGCAGGCCTGGAGACCGGCTGAGGGGTGGTTTTAGTAGCGGCAGGTACACTTGTAGGCTGTGTCACCGCTCCATTTGGTTTTTGAAATGGACTCTGAGAAGGTGGTTGTGTCGTACCAAATGGATTGCTCGGTTTATTCTGAGCGAAAAGTCCAGCGGCAGGAGATGGAGCTGCAGGCTGAGCGGGCTTCTTTGCTTCGGTGGCGGGCGTCGTGGAAGCTTCAGGTTGTTTTGAGTTGTTGACAGGAGTTGCGCCGCCATTCGTTTTCGCAGGCTCTTGCTTGGCTGGCGATGCTGGCTGGGGCGCTGGCTCCGGTGGTAACTTGGGAACCGTCTTTGCCTTGAGTTCCCGAAGCCGTTTCTCTTCCGCAACCACAGCGGCCTCAGCTCTTAATCTCTCCTCCTCCTTGCGCTCTTCAGCAAGTATGCGCTTGTGCTCTTCTTGCAGCTCATGGAGCTCGTAGACTCGTATCGCTGCTTGACGCACGCGCTCGTGTTCTAGTTGCGCTGCCGCCAGAGCATCTCGGTGACTAAGCTCATTATTTCGGGTATCGAGAAGAAAGGATGCGGCGATGTTTCGTTCTGGACTAGAGAGCAATTGATTCCTTTTGGCGGGCGAAGATAAGACCTTGGAAGGCGAAGAGAAGGTCATGATGAAAACAAAATATTGTTGGTTCGCTACAAAGCTGGCATTTGAAACGGAAGAAATAAAATTTAGTTGTGTAAGTAGCAGGGCAAGTCTAACCTTACACCTGAGATGTAGGTAAACTTTAGGACTCGCGTAGCCTTTGTACACGAAGCGTTTGTTTTTTGGGTCTTAACAATGCAGCCCTTTGAAAGAGGCTGGATGTCGATCCATCAAAGCAATGCTCCCCATGCACGTACTGGAAAGCGTCAATTAATGCTAACTTTATCTGGTATAGCCGCAATATGCAAAGCTGGCAGATCTCGGTCCCGCTAGAATGAAGTCCCGATGTCAGCCACACATAGGATACTTACGCCACATCATGGAAGTCAGGGTCAGATCCACCGGCCAAAGAGCTAAGGATGGGCGTTGTGAAACATGGCTTCGACATTGCCATGTCACCCCTTCGATCAGGGTAGATAAACATGTGTAAGAAACCCTATCTGAGGTAGAAACATGACCGGCAGCACGGTCTATTCTCCGTTATTGGGGTAGGAAGCAGCGTCATCAATGAGTCGACAAGGGGTAACATAATCACCATCTGGGGATGCCTGCAATCTTGTGTTTAGCCAAGAGTGTTGAAGTAACCGACGCGGAGCTCTTGAGACAGACCAGGCACGATGGATGACCCTGACTGAAGGGTTGCATTGACGGTGGTTCAAAATCTAGAACATGGGTGTGAATCACTGCCGTGGGCCGGGCCGTTGTTGGCCATTTGTGCAGTTAAAGCTAGGCAATTCAATTAAGCTCTGTTTGAAAGGTATGCAGAAATCGACCCGAAGCCACTGAAGCCGGTTTGGGGTTGTTGGAGACCAGGAAGGGAACAGTTTCTGTGTGATACATATCAAGTCCGGTCGATGGCTTTGCGAGACAGCTTTTTAGTCGATGGGCGTTCTGAAACTTAATATGTGGCACCACAATGTACACCCTAGGTGAGGAACTAAATTGATATTCAAAAAGAATACGATTCGTCTAACAATTCGCACAACATAGACGGTGTCAACAAACACCAGCCAGGCAGTGCCTGTCTAGGTTGAAACACGACCACTTACAATGCGAGACTGAAAGAACACATTGCCCGTCCTTGATCCACTAAAACCGGACACGCAACCGAGGAGAGCCTAGAAGTGACTGACTGTTTTGATATTCGAACTTATTATTGATCAACTAAGGACGCCTTTATTAATCCAAAACCAAGCCAAGCCGTTGACGACTCCTCAGTCTTTCGCTTACAAGGTTACCTAGGTACTCATGTCGGCAGCTAGATGAGGACGATTCGGCAGCTGGTTGCTCGAATGCACTGTCAGCGATTAACGAGCTCCATCAAAAACAAAGAAAGGAATGCTGATGAGATCACTTCACAAGCTCCAGCCCACCACGTTTCGTCAGTAATATGATAAAGTGCCCCTCGATGACGTTTGGCACAAATTTCCTGGTTCGCTTCCATGTTAGCTTTGATATCAATTGTTCAGAGCTCACCCTTGAGCCGCAGGGAGGCCTGGACTTTTTGGAGGTTTGATTAGTATGGTATGGGTATCCATCAGCCATCCATCCCATGGTGTGAAGCAGGGGGTTCTTCGCCCCTAGCGCAGGCGGATACGGTTAAGCATCACTGCTTCAGGCAACCACAGGGATGGAAACTCTTGAGAGTGTGACTGGTTGTGAAAACGAAAGGAAAGACGAGGGCTCAGCCGCTCTACCGGTCAAGTAGCCTAAGCGTATGTATTTGTTCAAGGGAGAGAGCCAGTTTCGTCCTTGTTTGATAGTCATTGAATCATGATGGACATGAAAGAAGTACGGAGATTTTGGAACCTAACATAGTGTCGTCGTCGAGTAAAAAGTTGGGCTATCATGGGTGTTGAAGCTGGGGTCATCCAGGGGGAGAGGAAACGGCGACAGCTAACGTCAGTAGCACCCCATACCAGGCGTATCTGAACAGCTCAGATGTTTACACGAACAATGCAGCCACAGTTGTCTATGTAGGCCACCTTATCCAATATGTGTAATTGCCTGGGTATCTTGATGCGTTGTTGCGTCCTACGACAAGCGAGTCGTTGTCTTACAATAAACCTGATCAATGGACTTTATCTGCTTATGTAGATTCTTGTGATTGCTCCAGATGACGCTCTTTCTTATCCCTCGACGCCACACCCTGAAAGATCGACTCCTTGAATCATGGATCATGACCAATTTTAGGCTGGGTGGTAGTACCTCCCATCTTTTTATCCTTGTTTGTGAGTCCAATTTGTCAATTGTGCTAGTCAATGCTTCTCAAGCCAATTGATGCTCATATTACCTGGCTCTCCGCTGCAGTGAGTTGTCAATAATAGTCTGTGTTCATGACATATCCGATGAACATCAAGAGCTTGACAGGAGTCAATAGTTTCAGCCATCCGAGCTCTCTGGTCATGAATCCCACCCTTCCCATGGTCCATGGCACTTAGGGGATAGCATCCCCGCTATTAGCGGAGTCAGCCGGCGTCAGTGCGAGCTTCAGGTGCTAGGGGCTCTCGGGGGGCTCTACCACGCTGGGCTCGATCCCACCAGAGCTGCGTTAGACCAGCGGCCAACCCCATCTTTAGGCGCGTTCAAGCCCGGTCAATCCCCCCGGTCCAATTGCCCGGACACAGAGCAGCTAACCTGGTGATGGGATGCTTCCAATGGCCCAGTTGTTCGTTTAACCCCATGAGCCTGCGTAAGATCCAAGGTCTCGAGCAGGACTTTGCCACAGAAGTTTAGAAAAAAAGATAACAGCTAGTCAGATACGTTACGTAGCTTCTGCGGCGCGTTTACTGCACCCTGTAGCTGTTGTTTGGAAAGTTTGACAATCTGAAAAGATGAAAGTACCTAAACGGGGAAGGTACATGAGCATCCTACCTGCTGTGAGAGAGTCAAGGTAAATTTAGACCAGTAGGTACATGCAGGTAGGTAGTTGAGGTAGTCGTATCCCACTTCCCTCACTCCACTTGGAGCTAAAGCATCTCTATCTATCCACCCATCCTCTTCATCCATCCCTCCTCTTCCTCTTCTCCTCCATAACTTACCCTCGTCTCTCTTCCTCTTGCTGGGAGTTGGAATTTTGTTCCATTCATCCAGGCCTTCATTTCTCGTCGTCTCATCAACTGCCTCTTCATCGCCGCCTTTCTAAACCACGCTCCTTGGCTCAGCGCAAGCTCGTCTACCCTCCTTTTGGGCAAACATTGTCCCGCCGTGCCATCGCCTTCCGCCATCGCAATTCGCCTCATCCATTGCCCGTAACTCAACAGGTCCACCATCCTCATTTGCCGCCTATATTCGGCTACCATTAAGCTTCACGATATCAGATCCAACTAGCTGTATCCTGATCTATCCCCTCGCCGAACATCGACGTGCTACATTTAAACTTCAAACTCTCTTGTCTGTCCAATATGGAGCAGCAGCAACAGCAACCCCCGCAGCAGCCGCAGCAACAGCAGCAGCCGCAGCAGCAATCGCAGTCTCAACAGCATGCTTCTCAGCAGCAGCCCCAGGTTGGCGGCGTCCCTGGGCCTGCTGGACGCAGACTTCATATTGCCCATCGCCGAAGCCCTTCTGAGCTGACGCCACTGATGAGCATGTTTGCTAACCCTGGAAGTAAGTCATGATATCCACAACTGTTTGCCTTCGTCCCCCTCTCTTAAAGCGTCATGGTAAAGTATCATGGCAGCTCACCTGGTACTTGGTGCTCTGCACCTATCATGTTGCATATATATCATCCTTAATTCCATGTGGCTTCAAATCTCGACGTGCTAACATTCTTGTCCATCAGTGGAGCAGCTTGCCATTCAGCAGCAGATCGAGCTGTTGCAGCAACAGCAGCAGCAGATTCAAGCTACGCATCAGCAATATGTCAACATGGGGATGATGCCTCCAGGACAACCTCTTGGTCCTGGTGGTGCGTTCAATCCTTTGCAGCCAATGCCCAATATGTCGCAAGCTGCTTTCCAATTCCCCAACCAAGTGCCTCAGCAAAACATTGCCCCCCCTACCCAGCCACTTTCACATCGCCGTAATCAGTCGGCACTCCCCAACATGGGTATGGGACCTCCTCCCGCACCCTCCTCTGGTGCTTCTGGAAACGCCCCCTTTGGAAGCTTCGAGGCACCTCAAGCCCAAGCCCAAGGCCGAGAGAACTCTGGAGGCCGAGGCGGTCGTGGTGGACCCCCTGGCGGAGGTCATCAGAGAAGACACTCTCTGGCTCTTGCCGACGCCAAGAAAGCTGCCGAACTTGCTCAGCAGAAGCGAACAACTACAGGCTTCTCATTTCCTGCCTCTCCCGCCCCCGACGATGAGAACAAACCCGCTGCTCAGCCTACCCTCGATGTTCCCGTCGCTCAAGGATCGACTCGTGGAGGACGTGGAGGTCACGGCCGTAGCCAAAGTATGGCCGTCAATGGCCGAGGAGGTGGCCGTGGCGGTGGCTTGAACGCCGAGAGCAACGAGTTTCAGCGTCGCGGAAGCGGTCACGCCCGTACCGGTTCCCGTAATTTTGAAGGAAACTGGCGTACTCAAGGCCAAGACCAGAGTGGTAACGCTGGTCAGAACCAAGGCTTCCAGCCTGGTCACCGACCTCGTGGATCTATGAACCAGTCCGTCTCTGGAGTAGGAGGCTTCCAGTATAACCCTAACCAACCTCAGGTTATGCAGATGCCAAACCAAATGATGATGCCCCAGATGTATGGTCAGCAGCTTAACCCTATGCAACTGAACCAGTTACAAGCATTGCAAGCCGCTCAGATGAACGGCCAGCAATTCGTGGGCCTCCAGGGCTCTCAGCACGCTGGCCAGCTCGGTGGCCAGCAGCAGCAACAACAGCAGCGCAAGACCCTTTTCACTCCTTATCTTCCCCAGGCCTCTCTCCCTGCTCTCTTGGGCGATGGTCAACTCGTTTCTGGCATCCTCCGTGTTAACAAGAAGAACCGTAGCGATGCTTACGTTACCACTCAGGA